CGTGGTGCTCGCGGTGAAGTAGATAGAACCTCACGGCATCAGATCCACGAAAGAGAGCACGCAGAGAAAATAGTTCAGAATAAGAAACACAAATTGTAATATATAATTTCATCAACAGCTTTCTTTTAAACCATGCGACAATCGTTAAGGATGAGTACGACGGATCTGCTGGTCTGAGTGGACCCCCTTGCAGGCGCCGCTCCGAAAGGGCATAGGCATCTATGTATTTGCCGCGATGCGTATTGCACGAAATATCTATTAAAATATATTTGAACTTTATAATTGCCTGTGTAAAGGTGGTGCGTGCACCGTTACTTGCGTGCAGACTGGAAGTGCATGCAGCAAATACGGCGTAGTTGTGTATGTATATGGATCTAACTTGAAACACGAATTACGCAGAAGCACATTCCAGTACGTCTCTGGCTTCCTCCTCTCCCCCGGCGCCAGGCCGCCAGGGGGCGTCGATGCAGGGTACGCTGTCTTTTGTAAGCACTTAAGTATTTTGATTCAATTTCATCTCCGGACGGTCCTCCAGTATGATCGAGGGCTCCTGTTCTGCAAGTTGTTGAAGTATTAATGTTAACAAAGTCAGAGCAAAGAAACAGCATGCACCGCATCTCCCTTCCCTCTGATAAGCCCAGAGAGTGAAACTCAACGTGCTGCACATCTTCGGTATGAAGTACACGTATTGCTACTCACGAACACGCTAACTACTGTGCGGTATTTGACAGCTTTCCATAGCGTTAGTGTATGCATCAAAGTGATGGCTGACTATGCATGCTTGTGGAGTTGCTGAGACGAAATATGTTAAAATTATTTTAGTGCTTCCACCAAAAGGGGCAGGCGCACGCGTGCAAGCGCTGTTGACTTGCAGCCAGAGATGCACGACCCAGTGCTGCAACTCATCCCCTTTCCGCAGCAGCCTCAGATCCTTGTGCCGCTGTGCCGAGCATACATAGAAATCGAAGAGAGAACACAGCTGCTTTGGGGGAACATATTTTCTAACTCAAAAAAGATATTGTTTTTCTCCACAGTACTCTGCTAGGGGCAGGACCCTTGTTGCATCTGGTAGCGCTGCACGGCTCATTGGCCGATGGGTGAACAGCCCAACCCTCCCCCATAGCCACCACGGAGCTGCCTGGTGCATACACGCGGTTTATAGATAAAAACTCCATTCGTAAAGGAATGATTTTTAGATACTGTCTCAAAATCTGCGTCAGAAGTTTGCCCTGCTTCTCCTCTCGTACCTTAGAGGCTGATCAGGATATAGGGGAAGCTAGAAACAGCTGGCCGCGGTTGGTACTATCGCTAGGCCTCTGGTAGGGTGGAGAACCCTTGCTACAAGGGACAAACAGACGAGCTGCTAAGGAAGCATACGCAAAGCAAAGGAACGGGAGGTAGAGCATCTGCATCGGTTTGAAGCTCACCAACAAAATCCGAGTGAAACAAAACTTTCTGATGCCGCTCATCGATGAACTATGCCGGGTCAGCAGTATACAAACCATTTAACCTTACTAATGCGCTTCTGCAGCTCCCAATACACCCCAACAACCGGCGGAACACCGCGCGCACGCATTTTAGAGCCTTTCTACATGCACCTTTGATCCGTGAATGCGCTTGCCGAACAGCAGAGAGATGCCAATCACAATTTTTTGAATCCAAGGCATCAGGGGAAAGTGATTGTTTAGGTGGAAAACATGCCCGTGTTCAGCCGGAGAGCGTAGGGTCACTTGCAGCACCAGTGGCGTGCTTTGCCACTGCCACATAAGAAGTACTGGTTACTGAGAGCGTAATACTATCTCCTATTTCATGCAAACAATTAGCTTTTTAAAGTTTCGTGTCGCCCAGCCACTCAAGCACTGATATTGCGCGTCGGGAGAAGGTATATGAACACCCTCAACTAGGTTGCAGTGAAAGCATTCAGGCGAACGGAACAGAGCCTTTAAGACTAAGTGGCAACACAAGTGAGAATGTTGCGCAGCAAGGAGCTGCTGGTCGGCTGCGGCATCAGCAAACCTACGCGTCCCCTTCACATGCCACTTGTTGTGTTTTCTTTGTTTTCGGGGCTACGCTCGATGAAGCACAATAGAGCATGTGTTGTTTGAGAAACAGCGCATGCTCCGTATGAGCTGGGTATGCGCGTTTGTACTTGCGTGCAGGCCGGATATGGAGGCCGCTGTACGTGTTTAACAATTGTATACACGGTTACTGCAAGTATATATAGAACGTTTGCGAATGCAAACGTTCTATAAGTGTATTCAGAGGTAAAACATGCAGCAAACGAAGCTTTTTTGAAGCTTCCTTGGGTGCACGCATGAGGCTGGCTTGTATTCCCGGCCTCAACGCTGTGCGTTGCAACCCCATTTCAGGCTGCTTCCTCCCCGCACCACCAAGGCCTGAGCTCAACGCCCAGGATGCCTGAGGAGAGGGAAAGGATGTCAACTGCTTTTGAAACTCTTGGTTTAAGTTTGTACGTACACTGCAGCTCATCTCTGCCCTTGATTAAGGCCAGAAAGCAAACGCTACAAGCAGCGCATTCGCCTGGTATATGCAGGATGCCTGGGGGTTGTAACGAAGGCCCACTGCCTGTTGTGAGTTCAAATAACTCAAGAAAGTGTTTTTTTGGAGAATTTCTTTAGCTGATTGCAACTGGCAACGCCTCTAAACTAAGATCTAAGAGCTTCACTGCAGTGCACCCACCGAGCCTCCTGTGCTGCCGTGAGCCTCACTGGCGGTCAGCTGCTTTCTGCGAAACCTGGCCCCGCGTATTGCGGCTCAGTTAGAGGTTACTGGGATACTGGGTGAATGTCGAAGACTTTTCTTGCATGCGTGTTGGCGATGGGTGTGCAGAAAGGAACGGAAATTACACGCCATGTTATCTCGTGTATATTTATATTCCACTTAAACTCCACGTATTTACAATTTAAATTGTTTGTTTTATCTAATTACGCAAACAGGAGGGGTACACATACACAACACGTGGGCCCCAGCCAGAGTCGGCAGCCCCGCCGGGTGTACACTACAGAGGGCCCCTGA